TATATCCCTATAAAATCTTAAAGTCTTTGAAGGATGACTTTGAAAATAATGAAGATTAGGAGGGAAAAACTTCTTGGCTATTTTGATTGGGTCATTCAAAGTTTCTAAATAAGGTTCAATAGAAAAAAGATTACTATTGCTTTTAGGAAAATATTTGGACCTTTGAACTGGGCTTTGAGGACTTTGACTTTGGGAAGGCATAGGAGGATGAACAATAAAAGGGTCATATTGGGAAGTTAAAGCTGCTTGATAATTAGGGCGTAGAGAAGGTTGGCTTAGAGGATTAAAACTATTTCTAACTGGAATTGGCATATAACCTGGAAAGGGCACAAGTTGGGCATTGGCTTCTTGTTTGACTGGCATAGGCATTAGGGTAGCTGGAAGGACTCTGGCTTGGCTTGGGCCTGGGCTTGGTTGGCTTGTCTGACTGTATTGCATTTTTTGCTTGTCTTTCTGCTTATCTTTTTCTTTGCTTGACATGGCTCTGCCTGTTTATCCTGTAGAAATTCTCTTGTAAGAAAATCAGGGATACTGTTTTCACTACCTCTCAAATATTCTAACTGAAAATCAAAAACACTCAGAATTGCTTGCCATCGTGCAAAAATCTGCTTACTAGCTATATTTTTAACATCTTTTTCTAAAACATGTTTTGCAGACTTACAATCAACACGAACTAAAAACTTTTGATTTAATAAATCATCTTGAAATTTGCTTATGTATAATACAATAGATAAAATTTCTTTTTTAATAGTACTATAATTAACTTGGGCTTGACTCCAGACTCTGGAATGAAAACGAACAATTTGTTCAGGAGACTCAGGGCTTATTCTTTGTTTTAAAATACCACCATAACCTGTTTCAGAGGCATCTGTTTCAACAATTTTAAAAGCATGAACTGAGGGAATACCTAGGCATGGAAGAGATTTGACATGAATCTTAATTTGCTTAACTATTTCTGTATGGCTTGGAGTCCAGGCAGGAGGATTGCTCTGGAGACGATCAAACAGGGGCTTACATAATTTTCTTAGATTTTGATAAAAATCAGAAACATAATTTAAAGATCCTAAAAACCTTTGAAGTTGACTTTTTTCTAGAATTTGGTCTGGAAACTTATCAGCAAACTGGATGACTCGATTGATTGGGCTTATCTGACTTTGGCTTATGTTGAAACCTAAAAACCTGACATTGACCTGAAATAACTTGATTTTCTTGGCTGAAACAACTAAACCATTAGTTTTGACTATCTGAAGAAATTTATGTAAATGCTTCCAATGTTGCTCAATTGACTCAGAGAAAATAAGAACATCGTCTATATATACTATGGAAAAATGACTGTAAGCATTAAAGATTTCATTCATAATATTCTGGAATTCACTAGGGGCATTTTTTAATCCAAAAGGCATAACATTCCATTCATAATGACCAAAAGGGGTAACAAATGCAGTCTTATACCTATCTGATTCTTTAATCTGAATTTGCCAAAAACCACTTTTCATATCAAATTTACTAAAGATAACGGCTTTTCCTAATCTATTAACTAAATCTCTTTTATTAGGGATTGGGTACCTAATCCATTCTAAAACTGAATTAAGAGGCTTATAATTTATAACTAGTCTGGAAGCTTGACCTTAAGAGAGTTGGTTTGTATATTTAATAATTGGAAGACTAATAATTTGAAGACTTTGAAGACATGGAAGAAGAAACTTTGGCTTAGAGTTGGACGGAAGACTTAGAGTTGGATTTGGCTTATGTGTATTTAAAGACTTGAAGACTTTGCATGTGTATGAAAACTTTGCATGTGTATTTAATGGAGTGAAGACTTGGAAGAAGAAATGGAATTGTTAGCTACGGAAGAGAATGGAGAGTATGACTAAATAATTGACTTGGTAGATGACTTGGGCAACTAACAAATAAAAAATAGAGAAATAATGAATAAAATAAATTATTGAATGGATGCAAATTGAAACTAATAAATTAATCATAAACTCAAAAGAAAATTAACGTAGGTGAATAAGTTATACAAATAAAAAATTATGAGAGCACTGAATTTAATTAAAATGAGAATATAAATTAATGAAAATAATTGAATTAACATAAATTAGAATTTGTAATTAAATCAATTAATAATTCTTCTTGTTCCTCTTGCTTAGTTAAAACACAAATTGATTTATTTAAAATTCTACAACATTTATCCTTGCATCCTAATTGAACTTTTGGCTCACTAGACTGGGAACTATC